ACATATTATTATTTATTTTTTTTTCCCCCTTTTGTCTCCTTTGTGTACTTTGGTTGGGTTGTTTTTTTTTTATTATTATTATTATTTTATTATTTTTTTTCCGCCCTGGTTGCTTGTGCACCTCACCTCCGCGCATGGAGCGGGCTGCCCCGCGGGCTGCCGCCGAAGGAAGCGGAGGTGGAGCTGGTGGAGCTGCGGGGAAGTTGTCTGAACTTGACTGTGGGGAGAAGCACAACCTTCTCCCCCCTCACAGACTTACACATACCACCACCACCACCTCCCAGGAGCTGCGAAACGCTGGAGAAACGGCTGGTCCCGGGCTGGGGGGAAGCGGGGAACCTCACGTCGGTGCACCCTCAGGCTGAAGCTGCTCTGCTTTAGCACCCTGCCTCCTCGGCTCACCTGGGGTGCCATCTTCACTGGTGGCCCCAGAATGGCTCTTTGAAGGGGCACCACCTGCCCGTGGCGGAGCAGATGTCTCCGTGTCAATGCCGGGATTCCTGTGAGATCAGAAGGGAGGAAAGCTGCCTGTCACAGCTACCCTTCCTCGCCAGCTGAAGCTCCCTCTGTTTGCTGGTTGACTGCCATCTCCCTGGAGAAAAGCGCTCGCGCCGACGGGGCTGTGTACAACGGAGCAGACGGCTTTTAGAGCAGGCTTCTTCTCGGGCTGAAATAGGTTCCACAAACGGCTTTGAAGGCATCACTTTCTCGGCCCGTCCTCTTATCCTTGCCCACCAGCTTGGACCTGGACCGCGTGGGGAGGGATGGAATCATAGAATCATAGAATGGTTTAGGTTGGAAGGGACCTTGAAGATCATCGAGTTCCAACCCCCTGCCATGGGCAGGGATGCCTCCCACCAGCCCAGGTTGTCCGAGGCCACATCCAGCCTGGCCTTGAACACCTCCAGGGATGGGGCCTCAACAACCTCTCTGGGCAACCTGTTCCAGTGCCTCACCACCCTCAAAGTGAAAAACTTCTTCCTAATGTTTAATCTAAACCTGCCCTCTTCCAGTTTATGGAAGCCTGTGTATAATTCTCGGCCCATCCTCTTATCCTTGCCCACCAGCCTGGACCTGGACCATGTGGGGAGGGATGGTGGCCTGTGTAGAATTCTTGCTTGCCCTTTGGTTGCTGCAGCATTGCTTAGCGCTGGCTCGAGAGGAGCGGACTCCCCCCTCCTTCTTCACGCTGGAAGATGAATGAGTGTGAGTACAACATCTCAAGCGAACGTCTCCCTGTCCCGGGGCAGCTGGGGCATGTGCAGCTTCCACAGAGGAGCTGTCACGGTGGTGTTTACACCCGGGTTGGGTTTTCTTGATCTCAGGTATGCAGGAGAACAGGGCTCGCCTCGGTGATGTGCAGTGGCTGCTGTTGGGATCAGAGGACCTTGCTGGGCCGGGTGGGAGCTGGGGCCCATCAAGTCCAGAGTCCATCTCCAAGGCTGGCAGGTATTACACCATAAAGAGAAGGTGTGAGAAGTAGTGTATTTTATTCTCAAATCCTCCTCCTAAATTTTATTCTTAACCTTCAGCTGCACCTGTAGAGTACAAACAACACCAAATTAATTCCTTTTTCTGCTTGATGGGTCAATTTTGTGCTGGGTTCCCACAGGGAGCAGGAGGGTCTCACCCCGGCCTGCTTGGTCCTGTGGCGGTGGGGATGGCCCTGTTCCTTCACCCCACCACCTGTAGCTCTCTACTCCTGGTCGTGGCAGGGACAGCGTGTGGGAGTTCGGCTCAAGATCCTTGTGGACCTCGCAGCCTCAGGACTGGGATCGTGCTGAGCTCCCGCCCCTGAAATTCTGGAGTTGGGGCTTCACAAAGTTTCGAGGTTGATCAAAGGTCGTGAAACTTGCATTCCCCCTAATCCCCAAACATGCTTGTACCCTCTTATTTCAACTTTGCAGCGTCAGAACTTTGTGTGTGCCTTCTGTAGCCACTGAGTAATGGGATGGAGGCATTTGGCAAAGGGTGAGGGTCTCCCCGTCTGGAAGCCCGTGGAGGAACACGGTGCATTTGAAGGGCTGTGCAGGGCAGAGGCCGGTGAGCTGCCGTTGCAGATAACCATATAAAAATGGTTCATTTTCGAGTGCTCTGTGCTTTCCTCCCCAACTGTAGCAAGTCCCCCAACCCCTCTGTCAGGCATAGAAGCTGTAGCGCGAACAAACTACCTGCCTCCCTGCCACCCCTGGTGTCCCCCAAAGGTAGGGAGAGACCTGGCTGCGTGTGAGCATCCTTTCCCTGCCCCTTGCCTTCCTCCTTGGAATTACGCCCCGAAAGGACCTCCGTGCCTGCCTGTTTCGGGAGAGGGGATGGAGAGCCCCCTTATCTCCAAGCCACCGCCTCCCTGACTGCGCTGGTGCTTGGCACGGTGTGCCGAAGTGCTCTTTGGGCCGTGAAGGCGGCTGGAGAACGCAGGTGACGGCGCGCTCAGGCTGCGGTGGAGGGGGGAGGTAATGGCAGAGAGCGTGATAAAGCACGCTCTGAGCATGCCAGGCCAGGGATGCCTGCGGTCACGGTAATACCCTTGCTAGCGAGCCGCCCTTGCTCCCAGCCGAAACCTCAGGCAGCTCTCTGATGAGCTGTTCCTATTACATGCAACTCGCCGACTCGGCTCCGTGTCGTGTTTCCCCTGCCGTAGGATTGCAGCAGCAGCAGGGAGGATTTCTAACCTACCGGGAGCGGATGGGGACACGTCTCCGGTGTCCCACGTGCACCGAAGGTTCATTTTAGGGCTGCTTCTGCCCTCCTGTGTGGGTGTTTGTGTCCTTTGGGCAGTTTGCGGCGGAGAACGGGGCGCTGGAGAGAGGTTGGCTTGCGGTTCTGAGCAGATCTCGCCTTTTTTGGGCAGGGGGACGAGCCAGCAGTGCGGTCCAGGGAGACTGCTCTAGAACCGCTGGCAGCGGGAGAGGGAGAGCGGCACCGACTCTCGTGGCCAGGACTTATTTTTCTTCCTGAAGTTTGGATGAGTGAAGGGAAACGGGCTCCTCCTGCCAAATCCTCCATGTATTTTAGCAAATCCGCAAAGGTTTTCCCTAGTCGTTTATAGGACCATAAGTTGCCTCTGACATTTCTACGTGGAACGTTATCTGCTCTGCCTCTCGCCTTCCCACGGTACCAGTGCCTTGTCAGAACCAGAAGACTCCCTTCTTTCATTCACCTGACTCGCCCGTCACCTCCTGCCCCTCTTTTAACGCTCCGGTGCCACTGTTGAGAGTCTCCCCCGTGGATGGACGCTGTTCTCCTTAGCTGTGCAGCCTTCCCCATTTGGGGACTTCCAGTCATTTAATGTTCCCTTCAAAGGTTTTTGGTTTTTTTTTTTTCTTTCCCCCCCCATTCAGAAGTGTTTTCTTCTCCTTTTTGATACATTTCACCGCTGAGATTTTGTCGCGAGTCAGGATGTCTCCGGGAGAACTGTACCAGCTGGAGTCTGTCACCTTAAATGATGCTGCCTGGGAGCAGAGGGGGGTTCCTCTGCAAGGCTGAGGTTGGGCATGCTGCCCTCGGTAGGGCTCGAGTCACATCCCTGACCCCGTGGCCAGTGTCTGCAGAGGTTGGACTTCCAGCTCATCTCTGTGGAAAGGGTTAGTGGCAGTGTCCAAGCGTCCAGTCCAGGGGTGGATGTCCTGCTATGAATTTGAATTCTTTATTAGTAATGGGCAGGACCAGGTCAGTTCTGAATTTTATTTTATTTTTTTAATAAATTATTTTCCCGGTTGAGTCTCTGCCAGCTTGTCCTGGTGAAGTGTGGTGTCCCTTGTTGGAGAGCGTCATTCCCTGCCATGGCCAGTCATGTGGCAACTAAGATGTGGGCCTAAAGGTTGGCACAACATCATAGAATGATTTAGGTTGGAAAGGACCTTGAAGATCATCCAGTTCCCACCCCCCTGCCCTGGGCAGGGACACCTCCCACCAGCCCAGGTTGCTCCAAGCCCCGTCCAACCTGGCCTTGAACACCTCCAGGGATGGGGCAGCCACAGCTTCTCGGGGCAACCTGCGCCGGGGGCTCACCGCCCGCACAGTGAAGAACTTCTTCACAGGGATATCAGAGGGAAAAGGTTGATTAGCTCATTCACCGTCTTACTGATCACGTACAACAGGGGCAAAACAGCAGCATGGGCTTCTCCTTCTGCCCGGGAAGCTCTTGAACAGCCTTCCTGGTCTGAGTTGAGCTGTGCCGCAGAGGCTGCCGGGGTCTGCTCGCCCCTTTTCCCACCCCACCTTTGCCTGGCTGCTTGTGCTCTGCTCTCCCATGGGAGTCCTGACCTTGCCGGCCCGGCCGGGCTCTGCTGTGCCATGCGGGAGGCTGGTCTCTGGCTAGCAGCACTGCCTGCTGGTGGCCCTCAAGTGTTTGCTGAGAGGCAGCAGCTTATCTGGAACCGTTATTAGAGCCCTCCCCGGGGTTGGTGATGAGAGGAAGGAGAGGACCGTTTGGGTTTCGTGGGGCTCCGGGGAGGCGAGTGGAGGCAGGTCATGGTAGGGTTTGGTGTGGGGCAGCGCTTCATCTGGAGCCTCCAATAGCAGGACCGGGCCGGTGGCACGCTTGGCTTTGGCTGAGCCCGGAGCCTGCTTCCAAGGGAGGAGAAGTGGGAAGGGAAGGCAAATTGTGGGTCTCAGCACCAAGGGTGGTGTGTCTCAGTGCAGAGAGGAGGTGCACACAAGGGGTTGGGGGTCTCTGTCCCTCGCTGGAGAGCCTGTGCGGCTGAGGAACCCCTTGTGACATGAGGTTGCGTGGGGAAGGGGCCGGGAGCAGCAAGTCCCTGGGTTGGAGCGATGGGTGCAGCTTTGGCAGGAAGAGTAGTATGTGCTTTAGTCTTTGTTGCCCACACATTTTGTGCTTTTTAGAGGGATGGCTAATGAAATTAGCTCTGCTGGAAGGCTCTGCCAGCCTGAACCACTCCTGTGCATCTTGTGACAACGTGATAAAAATTAAATGGGCCAGAAGGTGCTGATCGTCTGTCGCTGTGAAATGGTCTCACGTGTTCTCTCTCCCTCTCATTCAAGGTGAGAGTCTGGCGTTATCTCAAAGGCAAAGACATCGTCACTCACGAGATCCTCTTGGATGGTGGGAACAAGGTGGTTATCGGTGGCTTCGGAGACCCGTTGATCTGCGACAACCAAGTCTCGACTGGGGACACGCGGATTTTCTTCGTCAACCCTGCCCCGCAGTACATGTGGCCGGCACACCGCAACGAGCTGATGCTGAACTCCAGCCTCATGCGGATAACGCTGCGCAACCTGGAGGAGGTGGAGCACTGCGTGGAAGGTGAGGCGGGATGGAGCCGGGGTGCTTGGCTTTCCCCCGGGGTGCTCTGAGCGCGCAGACGCAGCGGTGGCCAAGTCCTGGCTCTGTTGGCCACCTCGTGCGCTTAGCTTGTAAATCATTGATCGGTAAACGATCTCGCTGGTGACGAGGTGGATCAATCCTGCTGGGCTACGTGTGGCTGGGGTAGAGTCGTACTGCTCTGTGGACTCGCTTGTCACGGGGACGGTGCCTGGCATTGACCTTGTTGTCAAAGGCAGTGGTTGCAGCCAAGGTACAGCCAAGCGAAGTTATTTCATGTTATTTTTGCTGCAGGTTTGATGCAGGTTCTCAGTCCCCTCTGCAATGAGTCTGAAGTGGTTGGGAGCATCCCCATGGCAAGTCCTGTCCTGACACAAGTGTGTGGCAGGCACTTACCAGGGGATTTTGACTCCTCACACCTGAGTTAGATGTTCCTGTAGGTTTAGAGCTAATAAGTTAATGGGTTAATCCTGTGGTGAAGGCCTGTTCTTTATGGTAGTCATCCCTGGCTTCCTCTGTCTTGGAGCTTCCTCGCTTGCTAAATCAGCCTTGCGGACTCCCACAGGGATCTGAGAAGCCAACCGAGTTCTGCTTGGGGGTGAAACTTGCTTCTCCAAGGTAAAGCTAAGTCAGAACCAAGCCGAGCAGCTAAGTGATTTTGGGGGATGTGACTTGTCTTTCTGTGTTGTCGTGGTGAAGCCCTGTATCCTTTGCACCTTAATCTCTCGGGAGCTTTTGTGTCTGCTCCCAAAAGAGCTCAGATGAGGCGGGTTGTAACGTCGTGCCATGCTCATGGAGTACGTGCAGCACGTTTGATGCTCAGCACAGGGACCGCGGGCTGACTTGTTGTCTGGGACAACATGGGGAGTGCTGATGTGCCCGTGCTGGAGAGGGTGGCCAAGTTACTGGTGCTGCTGTGGGTGTAAGAACATAGTTGTTGGGAAGAGCTGAGGGGGAGACAGTCCATCTATCTTCTTTAATAGGATCTTAGACTTCTAGGTGTGGAGATGTGCCTCTATGGAGAGCAGATCTGGAGATAATTGGTCTTCTACTTGTTGCCCACCCATCCTGAAAACATACTGCTGTAATAAGCCGTTCGCTGGCTTCTCTCTTCCCCCTTTATGCTTTGTCCTGGGTTGCAGCAAGAGCTCTGAGCTCGTGGGGGAATGCGGTGCCCCAAAAGCCCTTCGCTGGGGTCTGAGTGTGTCCTGAGAGCAGATGAGTAAACAAGGGAAGGAATGCAGGAATTCTGCACAGACAACAAATAAACATGTAGATGGGCTCCCTCCTCCCCCTTGGACGTGCAGAGGAGAGGCCGTAACCCCTTTTTCCAGCTGTGAATGCTGACAGAGGTAAATGACCGGAGTCTCGGGCTGGGAGAGAGCTAGTTCAGCAAAGTGGATCACAAGGGGCACCCGTCTGGAGTGGCTTTTGGGGGAGGGAGGGACACTGGAGGTTTTTTCTGCCTCTCTAAATATGTATTTCATCTTGCACTTGAAAGGTATCAGTCCTACTCCTCCTTGCACCTAGTGGAGAGGGAGGGAGGAGAAAGAAGAGTGTGTGTGGTTGTTCTTGTTAAACCTGAGCGAACATCTGGAAGAATTCTGTCTTCACCTGGTTTGTCGTGTCCTTTGCAACGCTTGTTTCGCATGCGCGGGATGTGACTGGGGTGGCTGAGCTAGGTGGTTCCTCTTTGTGGCGATGGATGTTGTCCCTCAAGGCCCCTGGGAGACGACGAGAGATCAAATTTTCTTCCTAATGCTATAGATTCAACGTAGAATTTATGTCTTTCCTCCCTGTGATGTTAACCTTTCCTGATGCCAGCTAGCAGATGATTCTTTCTGGGGCTCCCCTCTTCTCTGAAGATCGCTTGCTCAATAGCTTGCTTCGTTTAGCTAATGAGGCCTCTCTTCCCCATCGCTCCCCGGGATGCTGGTGGCACGCAGAGGGAGGGTGTCAGCCTGCCTGGCTGGTGGCTCAGGGCTGGCAGACTGGTGTGGGGAGAGCGGGGACTGGAGAGGGCTGGAAAACAGCCTGCAGACAACTCGCTGTGTGCGGTGGACCTCATTTCTCCAAACCGGTGGAGACCTGTCCAGACTGCGTTGCTGAGAAATGACAGGAACAAGGCAACCTTGAGTTACTAATGTCTCGGGTAGGTCAAAAAGTGTTGCGTGGAGGAGATGCAGCAATTCTTATTTTGGCGTCCACTGACCTGGCAGCTGTTTCACTTGCCTTGATAAGCCCACCTTTCTTCTCGTATCCAGTGGACTCACTTTTTCTTCTTCCCACGTCTTGGAAGACTGGTTATTGCGTGAGTATCGTACATAGAATTGTTGAGGTTGGGAGGGACCTTTAAGATCATCAACTCCAACCATTAATCTAACCTGACAAAACCACTTCTAAACCATGTCCCCAAGTACCACATCTACCCATTTTTTAAACCCCTCCAGGGATGGCCAATCCACCACCACCCTGGGCAGCCCGTTCCGATGTTTAATAACCCTTTCAGTGAAAAAAATTTTTCCTAATATCCAATCTAAACCTCACCTGGCACAACTTGAACCCATTTCCTCTCGTCCTATCGCTTGTCACCAGGGAGAAGAGGTCAGCCCCCACCTCTCTACCCCCTCCTTTCAGGTAGTTGTAGAGAGCCAGAAGGTCTCTCCTCAGCCTCCTCTTCTCCAGGCTGAACTGTGGGTGCCTCACGCTGGGTGCTAACAGGTTTTCTGTAGAGAGCATGGAACAAACTGACCCCCCAAACCTCCCTCAAGCTCTACCCAAAGCTCGGGCCTTTCCTGAGGTCCGTGAAGGTCCCTTTGGGGTTGCCCAGCACAGCTACCCTACTGGGAGGCGATGCAAAACCAGCCATGAGAACCTGCTCCTGCCACCCTGGGAACCATTTCTGAGCTGCAAGTCTGAGAATTTAGCTCCGGGACTTGTTTCCCATCGACTCCCCACAGGAGGGTTCAAAGCAAAGCTGCCCAGAACTCTGTACTTTGGAGTTTAAAAACAAACCTTTGAGTGCTTTTGCAGAAAGAATGGGAAGAATGGTGGCAGCTGAGTGGAAAAACACAAATGTTTTGAGTATCTTCATCTCCTGTCGCTCCAGCTCGGAAAAATCCTAGACATCAAAATCTTTCCTGTCTAAGAGAGTTCAAACCAGGGCACCTCTGTGAAATAGCTCAGGTTAGAGTAAAAACGGTGTATTTTGATTACACTTAATTGTAGTAAAAAATAAAATAAAATGCTTGGATCAGCTGTAGTCAAAATGTAAGACCGGAGCTAAGCTCTGCAAACCAGCTCAGCGCTGGGGGGGGGCGGCTGGAGGGAAGTTTTTGGGTTCTGAATGGCAGAGGAGCAGCTCTGGGGGAGTCTGGGACACCGGCTTGGAGCGGGTCCCTGGCTTGAAGGAGGATGTTTGCTCCGGAGCCTCAGTGGGGGAACGCGTGGAAAGGGAACCGACCCTGAGCAGCACGCAGCACTGCATAGCGCTGGGAGTGGATTTCCTCTTGAAGACATCTGGATGATGCTTCCCAGGGAAAAAATTGGCCTGATAAGCCACAGCCTCGCTGTATTTGTGCCTTGAACGCCGGTGCTGCGTGAGGAAGGCTGGAGTCCTGTTGGAGCGAGGCCAAAGGAGGCCATGAGGATGCTGCGAGGGCTGGAGCATCTCTGCTGGGAGGACAGGCTGGGAGAGCTGGGGGGGTTCAGCCTGGAGAAGAGAAGGCTCGGGGAGACCTTAGAGCCCCTTCCAGTGCCTAAAGGGGCTCCAGAAGAGCTGGGGAGGGACTCTTGATCAGGGAGGGGAGAGATATGACAAGAGGGAATGGTTTTAAACTGAAAGAGGGGAGATTTAGATTAGATATTAAGAAGAAGTTGTTGCCTGTGCGGGTGGTGAGCCCCTGGGGCAGGTTGCCCTGAGAAGCTGTGGCTGCCCCATCCCTGGAGGTGTTCAAGGCTAGGTTGGACGGGGCTTGGAGCAACCTGGGCTGGGGGGAGGTGTCCCTCCCAGGGCAGGGGGGTGGGACTGGATGATCTTCAAGGTCCCTTCCAACCCAAACCATTCTATGAGTCACTGCTCAGGTGGTGGAGCTTCCCAAGGCACACCACCAGCAGGCTCGGCGCTAGGTGCGGTGCTTTCCTTTCCACTCTCTCCCCTGAGGATGCCATCAAGCACACGCTCTTCTGGAGTTCAACAGCTGACTAATCCCCCAGAGCTCTTTCCCCTCTGTGTGTGTGTCTCATATTTCACTTTGATCGCAACAGCACTTGAGGAAAATCAAGATTTTTGTGTGTGGTGTGGGAGGGGCGGTGCGTTGACTCCATACTGAGCCGTCTGGGTGGGAGGAAGTTCAGATTAAACCTTTGTTAGGGCCTTGGTTAATGAGAACCCAGAGCTCCTTTTAAATAGTGGCTTGCTTGTGCCGTGATTTGCATTAACGCTGGTGCAGTTGCCCCAGCCGAGACTGCTTCGCTACCTTTGGGGATGTGCGTGGACTTTGAACCTCCTGGGAAAAGCCGTGTACGTTGGTTTTACATGCAGAGTACACAGTGAAACCTGGTAGCGTTGGGTACAGTAAGCACATGCTCTTGTTAAAGGAGGCCTACAGGAGGGCTGGGGAAGGACTTTTTACAAGGGCATGGAGTGATAAGATGAGGGGCAATGGTTTTAAACTGGAAGAGGGGAGATTTAGATGAGATATTGGGAAGAAATTCTTTCGTGTGAGGGCGGTGATCCCCTGGGGCAGGTTGCCCCGAGAAGCTGTGGCTGGCCCATGCCTGGAGGTGTTCAAGGCCAGGTTGGACGGGGCTTGGAGCAACCTGGGCTGGTGGGAGGTGTCCCTGCCCAGGGCAGGTGGGTTGGAACTGGATGATCTTCAAGGTCCCTTCCAACCTAAACCATTCTTTGAAAGTCCTGCTGGTGGCTTGAGAGCCTTGTCCCACAGCAGCGTGTCCAATATATCTTCAAGAAACTCTCGCTC